TAAATATTGGTCTTATTTTAATTCGAATTGCTGAAAAGTGTAGTCTCTTCCGATCCTCCTTGCTCAACCGAGTCCCTCCATAGCCTATATCTTACTCCAAGCTTATCATAAGACACGGGCCAATTCCAAACATTAGCTCCATTTATCATTCGCTCTTGCTGGCCTAATACGAGCCTTAAGTCCTCGTTCAACACCTGTTTTTTTCAGCTTGAGGTTAAATATTCGCCGAGTAAAAAAAAAAGAAAAAGCAGGAAAAATATTTTTCCACCTTCTCGGCGAAATGTCTCCATAGATGCTCCATTAAAGGGACATGTTTGAGTATGGGAGCAAAGTCGAGTGACATTCTATATAACAACCTCGTTTTTTGTCTCGACGAAGGCAAGCAAACATGTAGTTGATGAAGATGAGTTGCACATTCTCTTGTACTTTGCCCTTCCAATTTTCCGGGTTTTGATATACCGATTGTCGATAAAACCATGCAAGGTGGCCTGAACTCCATATCTATTGGGTATGGATCCCAATAGCCTTGCATACCCGATACCGGTGTTAAAAACTTCACCAAGCTGTGAATAATTAGGAATGGAATTAGAATACAATGGCTATGTTTGGTAATCAATTAAGTTGGCTTACAGTTTAGGGAAAAAAAATTTTAACCTCCCAAAGTATGTCCTTTTTTTGAGTTTGCCATATGAACCTTTTTTTTTTTAACAATTTGCATCCTAATGTAATCGAAACTGACAGTTTGCCTCCTCGATTGAAAACCCTAATATGGCACAAAAGAATTTTAACTCAATCAATGATGAATTTTAAATTAATCTTTAAAATTGATTTAGGGCTTTTAAAGCCCATGGCGAGACGAACAAAATGAGGTATAATTTGTCGAATTCTGAAAATTGATACCTCTATAATCGATCCTCGAAGATAGTAGGAGCACGTGTGTATAGAAAAAATTTCAATTCAAGGTTTCTGACAATCAAGATATCCAATTTTCGATTGGGAGGTGTCATTTAAAAGCTAGTAGGACCAATTTTCTAACACGTAAATCTTATGAAAATCCAACGGTAGGATTTTGATCAGTATTTAGAAAACTATTGATCCATAGTTAGCTTTTTTTAGGGCTACTAACCAAAATCCGACCGTTGGATTTTCATAAGATTTACTTCGATAGAAAACTCGTCCTTCAAACTTTCAAATGACACCTCCCAATCGAAAATCGGATATCTTGATTATCAAAAATCTTGAATTGAAATTTTTTCTATACGCACGTGCTCCTGCTATCTTCGTGGATCGATTATAGAGGTATCAATTTTCAGAAATCGACGAACTATACCTCATTTTGTTCGTCTCGCCATGGGTTTTAAAAGCCCTAAATCAATTTTAAAGATTAATTTAAAATTCATCATTAATTGAGTTAAAAACTCTTTTGTGTCATATTAGGGTTTTCAATCAAGGAGGCAAACTTTCAGTTTCGATTACATTGGGAGGCAAATTGTTAAAAAAAAAGTTTATATGGCAAACTCAAAAAATGGCATACTTTGGGAGGTTATTTTTTTTTTTTCCTACAGGTTAACTTATAAGCTTCCTGTATTCAAATAAGCTTCGTTTGGTAGGATGACCTTTCTTTACAAAAAGTTCGAGTTTATCTCATAAGGTTCTTTGGGTAACTTTTTCAAATAAGCTCGTTGTTTACCAAACACTTTTATTATATAAGCTAGCTTTTGCAGCTATAAATCATAAGCTATAAGCTAGAAAATCACTTATAAGTTATCAGCTAGCTTATCAGTAAAGCCTATGTTTCTTTCATAAGTCAATACTACAAAAGAATACCCCGTATGGTTTAACTAGGGAAAATTTCGGGTAGTTTTTGTGAATATATATATTCNGCTGACAAAAAAAAAAAAAAAAGAAAAAAATCACCTTGGAACGCTCCATCCCTTAGCAAATGTCGAGGTATGTGTAAAAGGAGCATGTGCAAGATCCAAAAGGTTGTCCAGAAGTAATCCATGCTCGACAGGAAGTTCCATCACAATCTGTGTCAAGAAAATCAGTATCAAGAAATTCCATATTTAGTTTTTTATTTTTTTTATTTTTTCCAACTCTTCAGTTGTTCTGCTTCTGATCTTCATATAACCAAAAAAAANCAAAAAAAAAAAAAGCCAAAAACAGTGTAAAAAGCTATAAACAATACCTCAGCATGTATTTGAAAACCGGGAGGTGGTAATAAAGAAGGAAGCTTAGCAGTCGGGGGATCATTGCCTGGCCAAATCCAAATCATACCCTCTTCCTCAAAACACGGTAAAGCCTTTATTTTTATGTCGAGTAATTTAGTCGATGGCATTTTCTCACATTTTCCACTCGTCGTATACTCCCACCCTGAATCAACC